GGGCCATCCATTACAGGTGTGTGTGGGAGGGGCCATCCATTACGGTGTGTGTGGGAGGGGATGTTTATTGCAGGTACATGTGGAAGGCACTATTTATTACAGGTGTGAGTGGGGGTCATTAATTACAGGTATGCGAGGCAGGGGTCATCTATTACAGGTGCATGTGGGAGGGGTCATTCATTACAGGTGTGTGTGGGAGGTGCCATTTATTACAGGTGTGTGAGGGGCCATCCATTACAGGTGTGTGGGGGAGGGGACATTTATTGAAGGTGCATATGTGAGGAGACATTTATTATGTGTGTGGGAGAGGATTCCTATTACAGGTGCACATGGGAGACACAATTTTATTACAGGTGTGTGGGAGGGAGGGCTATCAGTTGTGTGTGGGGTCATTCATTACAGGTGTGGGAGGGAGGGGCTATCAGTTACAGGTGTATGTGGAGGGTCATTCATTACAGGTGTGTTCTCCGATTCATACCGACGCACTTTTTTTTTTTTTTTTTCCTTCCAGGGCTTTGAAGACCCGAAGGACAAGTAAGTACCGAGATCTGGCCGCCCCCCAGGTGATGACGGTCCTGCACTGTGACCCCTCCTGTCCTCACAGCTGCTTCATGTCTCGGCGGTGTCGGGAGAGCGGCCAGGAGGACGGCGCCAGCTGCCGGCGTATCAACAGCTCTGCTGCCCTTTTTGGGGTAATCTTAAAATCTGACGAGCTGGCAGCCGCTTCTCCGACACCTCCTGTCCGATTACGGGGATTTCAGAATTAGCGGGCGATTAAACCGCTTTCCACGCACACAATCTGCCTAGTTGTCACAGATTTTAGCGTTAGGTTTATTTTTGGGCTGGAAAAAGGAAGAAGCGATTACGCCTGAGATGGGCGAATATAAATCCAAACTGCGTTCACAGAAAACAACTCGTTCACATTTGGTTAACAAAAAAAATAAATTCAGACTCATCCAGGTGTGTGTGCCTATATATATGTAAATTAAATAGATTATAAAAAAAATATATATATATATAATTAGAATCTATTAATTTCATTTTTATATATGTGTGTGTGTAAGAATTTAAATAAATTACACACACACACATATATATATATATACACCCTGTTCCAAATTATTCTGCAAATGATATTTTTCTCATTTCCCTCAATAATTGATGTAAATAAGTCGGCAGAATTCTCAGGTGACAACTAGAAGAGGACAATTCACATTTTATTGCACAAACCTCCTAATGATAACAGGATTTGTGTTCCGGATTATTCCGCACAGGAAGTTTCCAAACACTTTCTAGGTTGTAAAGAACTGAAAATTGTCATTTGTTGTGTTTGCAGCAGATTTACTGAAATCAAAAGCTATTTCAATCAAACTTTTCCCAACATTGTAACTTTGTAACCATTTGAAGCGTCACGTTACATTGTAACATAGGAGCCCTTATCTGATAGCAGATCACAAGTCTGGCATCCATTGAACTTGGCAGTTTTTGGACAGTTTCTGCTGGAATTTGTTTGCAAGATGTCAGAATCGCCTCCCAGAGCTGCTGTTTGGATGTAAACTGCCTCCCACCCTCATAGATCTTTTGCTTGAGGATGCTCCAAAGGTTCTCAATAGGATTGAGGTCGGGGGAGGATGGAGGCCACACCATGACTTTCTCTCCTTTTATCCCCATAGCAGCCATTGATGCGGAGGTATTCTTTGCAGCATGAGATGGTGCATTGTCATGCATGAAGATGATTTTATTACGGAAAGCATAGTTCTTCCTTCTGTACCAGGGAAGAAAGTGGTCAGTCATAAACTCCACATACTTTGCAGAGGTCATCTTTACACCTTCGGGGCCCCTAAAGGGGCCGACCAGCTCTGTTCCCATGATTCCGGCCCAAAACATGGCTCCACCACCGCCTTGCTGACGTCGCAGCTTTGTTGGAACAGGGTGGCCGTCCACCAACCATCCACTACTCCATCCATCTGGACCATCCAGGGTTGCACGGCACTCATCAGTGAACAGGACTGTTTGAATATGAGTCTTCATGTATTTTTCTGCCCAATGCAGCCGTTTCTGCTTGTGAGCATTGGTTAGTGGTGGCCGAATAGAAGGTTTCTGCACAGTTGCAGGACTCTGGAGGACTCTACACCTTGATGTCCGTGGGACTCCAGAGGCACCAGCAGCTTCAAATATCTGTTTGCTGCTCTGTAATGGGATTTTAGCATCTGCTCTCTTGATCCGATGCCTGGATCTGGCAGAAATCTTCCTCAATGTGCCTTTATCTGCACCAACCCGTCTGTGCTCTGAATCAGCCACAAATCTCTTCATAGTGCGATGATCACGCTGACGTTTTCCTGAAATATCGAATGTTTTCATCCCTCGTCCAAGACATCGAACTATTTCACTCTTTGGCAGCAGAGAGATCCTTTTTCTTCCCCATATTGCTTGAAAATGGCGCTCTGCTTAATAATGTGGAACGCCGTCCTTTAGGAGTTTGTCCTGAAATTGGGCTCACCGGCCAATCTAATTATCACAGGTGTCCCAGATTGTTTTCAGTGATCAAAAGAGCCCTGACACACAATGCCATCCATGAGTTACACTGAAAAACAAAATATTTCATCTTTGTGACACTTACATAGAATTTGCAGAATAATTTGGAACAGGGTGTGTGTATGTATATATAAAAATATATATAACTAATATATCTGTATATATATGTGTAAATTAAATAAATAGATTATAATATATATATATATATATATATATATATATATATGTAATTTAAATAAATAAATTGCATATATACATAAATTAAATACATAAATTACACACACACATATATATATATATATATATATATATATTATAATATATTTATTTTATTTACACAAATATATATATATATACATACAGCACATTTAATGGTTGCCGCGATGCATGTCAGTGCACCCGTTCGATGTGCGGATTGAGAATGCCCCTCCCCCCCCCCCATATATTGTGCAGTCGAGCCCCATGGATATACCATAAGCACACCCCGATGCACACACCAGAAGTTGCGGTTTGTGGCTCCCATGCGTGTTTTTGCACCCGGTGCGCTCCCATCCACAATGACCTGACTGCGTTAATGTGACGCACGCCATGACGCATGTAATTTGTACACACTAACACAACTGAACACGCACATGTGAATGGGGCCTTTGAACTCTTTCCCATTTAAAAAAAAAAAAAAATAGTCTAGAGTTCAGCTTTAATCTTTTCAAGAAAAGTTAATTTCCTGTTGTATTAACCTTTCCAGCGCTGGTGACCCTCCCCCCTCCCCCATGCAGCTGGCATCGCCCCCCCCCCCCCCCCCCCCCCCCGAGGAGTCAGCGGGTTGCGCACACAGGGAGGTTATGGGATGGAAGTGTCTGTGTTTGGACGCTGGAAGTGCCCCCCTCGGATTTTCTCACGGGTAAAAACTCTGCGTCTCTCTCTGAGCCCATATTGGGACAAACGTCCGCCGTCCACCGGGACCCGGGAAATATACGACGGCGGAATCGCTCCAACAAGGCGGCGTAACCCTTTCACATTCCGGAATGTTCCGTGCAGAATTTCCACTGCGACGAAGATGAACATTGCCTGGAAGGGTCCAGATATCTACGGACGGAGAGCGGCCAAGAATTCCCAACATTGGACATTTATCAGGGCGGAGCTTCAAAATGACTTAAAATGTATCAAAATCCAATTTAAAAAAAAACCAAAAAAACAGAATTTGCATTCCACGACCGTCTCCGGCACATCGATCGATGGGTTTGGTTGGCCGTTGTGTGTCTGCATCATTATTATGGCTGTCTTGCACTTCCTTTGTGACCGTGACTACGTTCATCCCACATGTTTCAGCGTAGTCACCCTCCTCGCAGCCTCTGACCCCTTCCTAGCTGGTTCCAGTACAGCACCATCCCCTGCATGTGGGAATAGAGGACGGTACGCAGTAGTCACAAGTGAAAGCACATTCCAGAAGTCACTTTACATACATAGTCAAATATAGAGGACGGTCCGCAGTAGTCACAAGTGAAAGCACATTCTACATAAAGTAAATTCTACTAGAAATTCTAACAAAGTAGAAGAGTTTTATTTTATTGAGTGACAGGTCCTCTTTATGCCCCTATAAACATTATAATTGCAAGTTCACTTTTATACATCCGGGGCCACCTGCCTGCTCATTGATCCAAGTGGGATATCTACTTCCTGGACACAGATGAGCCAATCAGGGGAGACTGAGGAAATGACTCCTCCTCCTTCTACAGAGTTACAATATACAGTCTGATCACTGGGGGAGGGGAGACTGAGGAAATGCCTCCTCCTTCTACAAAGTTACAATGTACAGTCTGATCACTGGGGGAGGGGAGACTGAGGAAATGCTTCCTCCTCCATCTACAAAGTTACAATGTACAGTCTGATCTCTGGGGGAGGGGAGACTGAGGAAATGCCACCTCTGCCTTCTACAAAGTTACAATGTACAGTCTGATCACTGGGGGAGGGGAGAGATGAGGAAATGCTTCCTCCTGCCTGCAGCAGACTGATGACATCATCCCAGCCAAAGTCACTGATGGGAGCTCCATCCATTATTGATATAAGGCGGAGCTTTTCAGAACAATCATCCTGTTGCTGTATATCTGTATATTGGGACATGTCCGGGATTTTTTCTTGCAGACTTATAAAGTTACTGACAGGTCCACTTTATGTTCTAAAATACTTTAAATCTTTCAAACATATATATATACAGTTATGTTCAATATAATATCAGTGTGATGATAAAAGTGACTAAAGCTGCAAATCCTTCTAATCCTTTTATTTCCATCCACACAAATGCATTGGGAACACGACACATTCTATTCCAAATCACAACATGAAGAAAAATACATCAAATTTGTGTTGTTCCTCTAAAAAAAATGGAAGAAAAGTGAATATTAGACGGTTCAAAAAAATCTCAGTGTTTGTATTCTTCTTTACAAACTCCAACATTCACTATATAAACTGAGAAATGTTTGAAGATTTTGCTTTCCTTTGAATGACTTCATGAATATTTGGTTGTAGTCGCACTGTTTCTGAGAACTGCTGTACATCTGTGTTGCATGGAGTCCCCCAACTTCTGGCCCCTGTGATCAGGTATTCCAGCCCAGGATGATTGGACCACATTCCACAGTTCTTCTCTATTTCTTGGTTTGGCCTCAGAAACGGCATTTTTGATGTCACCCCACAAGTTTTCTATTGGATGAAGATCCGGGGATTGGGCTGGCCACTCCATAACGTCCATCTTGTTGGTCTGGAACCAAGATGTCGCACGTTTACTGGTGTGTTTGGGGTCGTTGTCTTGTTGGAACCCCCATTTCAAGGGCATTTCCTCTTCAGCATAAGGCAGCATGACCTCTTCAAGTATTCTGATGGATTCAAACTGATCCATGATCCCTGGTATGCGATAAATAGGCCCAACACCGTAGTATGAGGAACATCCCCATATCATGATGCTTGCACCACCATGCTTCACAGTCTTCACAGTGTACTGTGGCTGGAATTCAGTGTTTGGGGGTCGTCTGACAAACTGTCTCCGCCCACTAGACCCAAAAAGAACAATCTTCCTTTCATCAGTCCACAAAATGTTGCGCCAATTCTCTTTAGGCCGGTCAATGTGCTCTTTGGCAGATTGTAACCTCTTCAGCACATGTCTTTTTCCCAACAGTGGGACTTTGCGGGGACTTCTTGCAGATAGCTTGGCTTCACATCGGCGTCTTCTAATTGTAACAGTCCTCACAGGGAACGTCACACCTTCTTTCATCTTCCTGGAGCTGATTGTTGGCTGAGTCCTCACAGGGAATGTCACACCTTCTTTCATCTTCCTGGAGCTGATTGTTGGCTGAGTCTGCGCCATTTTGGCTATTCTTCTATCCATTCCAATGGTAGTTTTTCGCTTTCTTCCACGTCTTTCAGGTTTTGGTTGCCATTTTAAAGCATTTGCCATCATTTTAGCTGAGCAGCCGATCATTTTCTGCACTTCTTTATATGTTTTCCCCTCCAATCAACTTTTTAATCAAGGTACGCTGTTCTTCTGAACAATGTCTGGAACGACCCATTTTCCTCAGAATTTCAGAGAGAAATGCACTGTAACCAGCATGTCCAACATTTGCTGCCTTCCTTCCTTAAATAAGGGCAATAATTGCCACCTGTTTTTCAAAGAATGAATGACCTCACTAATAGAACTCCACACGGCTATTATTGTGAACACGCCCCTTTCAATGAGTGATTCAATGACACAGAATCAGCAGCATGCATGTCATGACTGTTGGGTCTGTTGGATTTCTATGACTCTACTACACCTGATAGGAAATTATCTGCCATGTAGAAATATCATTTCCACCAAAAACAGTGATTGATCCGGTCAGTGATGTCTGACGGCTAGTATTTTGGACACAACTGTATATATAATTTTTTTAGGGGGGGGGGGGCAAATTCTCAATTGAACGCAAAAATTTGTGTTTCTTTCCTCCCTCCACCTCCATCAATGAGGATAATTGCGTATTTTTCATGTTCCATGGAAGGAAGTTCAGGGACGTAAGATGAAAGAATTTATCGTTTTTATTATATCTGATAAAGACGATTGTACAGAAACACAGACTTATGCAGGCATAGATGGGTCAAAAACCGGCCGTTTTAAAAAAAAAAAAAAAACAAAAAATCAGTCAATCGGCCGATGTTACCACCAAGCGTAAAAAAATCGGCTGATTTTCGTCCCGTCTACAGCCGGCATTTTTACTTCTGTCCCTGCAGAGAGCTCCGCTATTATATTTTATATGAAAAAGTCTTGCGGTTGCAACAATGTATCCATTTGTACCCATTTCGGATACAGATGATTTTATTTGGATAAAAATGGATACATTTGTTGCAACCGCAAGACTTTTTCATATAAAATATAATAGCGGACTGGAATTCTTTCTCTTCTTCTTCTTCTTTTTCTTCTTCTTGCAGTTCACGGCTCATGCGCAGATTTTTTATCGGTGAAACGATCGGCCGGTTTGCCCATCATTGCTGGGAAAATCAGCCGATCGTCAAAATTGGCCGCAAATTTTCCAACTTTATACCGATAAAAAAAATGTGCCAAAACCCCAAAAAACGGCCAACTCACTAACGGTGCGAAAATCGGCCAATTTTATTTTTCGGCCGTTTTGATTGTGCAGACTCGATATAATCCATCCATACCATGACTCTCTGTCCTTGTTCTGACCCGCAGGAACATTCAGGAGAACATGAACCCTGAGGACGAAGTAGACGAGTTTTTTGGGCCGGGCGATAGACGCACGAAGCATCGACCGTCTGCGCTCAGAACACGTGCGCAAAATTCTGCTGACCTTCCGCGAACCCGACCTGGAGAAGAAGGTAGGGAATGCCCTTGGGGAAGGGGGGTGTGTGTGTTATTAAAGGGGAACTCTAGATCAGAGCACGCGCTCACCAACCAACAGGGAATCCGTAATGTGAACTTCGTAAATATTAATTGGTAACAAAATTGTCATAACGTGAAGTAGGAATTACCGTGGATCATACGTGTGCAAGACACGGGTGTTGTACCAAAAATCTTCGAAAATGTTGCATTTATCTGCTGGAAATCTTTGGAAGGAGACAAATGCAGCCACAGCTGTGTCCATGGAATGTTCTCTGGACGGAATCCAGCGTGACGGAACTCCGCGTTCCTGAGACCACAAACGTTCTACGGAACGGAGATGCACTCCAATAAAGTCCTGCTACATGGACCGTCCTGTGAGCCACCGATGCACTTTGCTGCGGTTGATCTCATACAAAGCAAAATGCGTCAGTAGCACTCAGATGGAATGTACGAGGAATCCATTTAATATATGATGTGATTATTGTTAGGAATGTGGCTCTGTGCTGTATATTGGGGGGTGTCAAACTCAGTCTCATTGCGGGCAGCATCAGCGGTATATTTGCCTGTTGTATCTGGAGTGTGCTGTGTACAGAGTGCAGGGTATAGGGGTGCGCTGTGTACAGAGTGCAGGGTATAGGGGTGCGCTGTGTACAGAGTGCAGGGTATAGGGGTGCGCTGTGTACAGAGTGCAGGGTATAGGGGTGCGCTGTGTACAGAGTGCAGGGTATAGGGGTGCGCTGTGTACAGAGTGCAGGGTATAGGGGTGCGCTGTGTACAGAGTGCAGGGTATAGGGGTGCACTGTGTACAGAGTGCAGGGTAGGGGTGCGCTGTGTACAGAGTGCAGGGTATAGGGGTGCGCTGTGTACAGAGGCAGGGTATAGGGGTGCACTGTGTACAGAGTGCAGGTTATAGGGGTGCGCTGTGTACAGAGGGCAGGGTATAGGGGTGCGCTGTGTACAGAGTGCAGGGTATAGGGGTGCGCTGTGTACAGAGGCAGGGTATAGGGGTGCGCTGTGTACAGAGTGCAGGGTATAGGGGTGCGCTGTGTACAGAGGGCAGGGTATAGGGGTGCGCTGTGTACAGAGTGCAGGGTATAGGGGTGCGCTGTGTACAGAGTGCAGGGTATAGGGGTGCGCTGTGTACAGAGTGCAGGGTATAGGGGTGCGCTGTGTACAGAGTGCAGGGTATAGGGGTGCGCTGTGTACAGAGTGCAGGGTATAGGGGTGCGCTGTGTACGGAGTGCAGGGTATAGGGGTGCGCTGTGTACAGAGTGTAGAGTTTCAGGGGTGCGCTGTGTACAGAGTGCAGGGTATAGGGGTGCGCTGTGTACGGAGTGCATGTTATAGGGGTGCGCTGTGTACAGAGCGCAGGGTATAGGGGTGCGCTGTGTACGGAGTGCAGGGTATAGGGGTATAGTACAGAGTTCAGGGGTGTGCTGTGTACAGATTGCAGGGTATAGGGGTGCGCTGTGTACAGAGTGCAGGTTATAGGGGTATGTTGTGTAGAGTGCAGGGTATAGGGGTGCGCTGTGTACGGAGTGCAGGGTATAGGGGTGCGCTGTGTACGGAGTGCAGGGTATAGGGGTGCGCTGTGTACGGAGTGCAGGGTATAGGGGTGCTCCACATACAGGGTGCAGAGTTCCCCCCCCGTGGGGGGTCTTGTGTTTGATATATGTGCTGTATACATTGAATATACGGCGGGGACGAGTGGTGGGTCGGTGCCGGTGATGGAGCAGCCATGGGGATCATTATCCGGAGCGGAGCGTGACTTCCCCAGACGCAGCGCGCTCTCCGTGCAGCCAACACACTTCTACATTCTGCCATCAGACATTACGAGTCGTCATCCCGGAGCCAGCAATGTACAGAGATCACTCGTGTATTGGGAGTAATATTACCCGACCGCCTCCTGACCCTCCAGGCCTCATCCTATGTCTGTGTGTCTATTGGCAGTACTCCAAGCAAGTGGACGACCGATTCGGGGCCTATGTGGCCTGCGCATTCATCGTCTTCCTCTTCATCTGTTTTGTACAGATCACCATCGTACCGCAGTGAGTATCGCTCATTACATGTACAGAGATCACTGAGCCAGTCCCATCAGTCCGAACCAGAGGAGCTTACACTCTAATGTCCCCCCTCCCCCACAGTCACATCAGTCTCTGTACCAGAGGAGCTTACACTTTAATGTCCCCCTCCCCCACAGTCCCATCAGTCTCTGTACCAGAGGAGCTTACACTCTAATGTCCCCTCCCCCACAGTCCCATCAGTCTCTGTACCAGAGGAGCTGACACTCTAAATGAAGACACAGAAATACAGGAATACAATGCAGAGAAGCTGAAAATGTAGAAATGTTTATATATAAATGTATTTTTGTATCTCTGTAGCTCCTCCTTCATGTTGGGGTTCTATTTGGCGTGTTTCCTCGTCCTCTTCGTGGTGCTCAGTGTCTCCGTCATCTACTCCTGTATAAAGGTGAGTCCTCCTGGGGTGACACGTGGCCCCGGTGCCCCGGCTACAGACGTGTAATATGATCTCTGTATCCTCCAATCAGCAGACACTCGGGAGTTGGATCCTCTGTCAGGTTTTTGTGGCTTTGGTGTGGAAGAAGCAAAATGGCGAAAGCAGAACGCAGAAAGTCCGGACTGTTCTGTCCTAAAAATCCAACACGTTTTGGGGGGTTCAAAGGGCTCCCCCTAGGAACAGGGCTGGTACTGCGCAGGGAGGAGGGACCCTGAGAGGTCATTGGTTTGATGTACCAGATATCAGAATCTTCCTATCGGGGGGGCACAGCCGGCAATAAAACCTGACAGGGGTTCTAATCCCCCCCCCCCCACTCCATCCAGAGCAACAAAAAAATCGGTTTGCCTTTGGTTGTACCCGACGAAGCAAGAATTCTAATTCTCAAAAAGAATGGCAGTTGATAAGTCAGTTGATAAGTCATGTGACACGTTCTGTCGACTGCCTTTCTCCGTCTCTTCCAGCTGCTGCAGCTCGGCGGTCTTCCAGCTGCGATTCTTTTCCTCGTGAAGAGATTTCCTCTTGTTGTGTTTTCTGTTTATCTTCGGGGTGGTTTGATATTGTATCAGGAGGCTCCGCCCATCTGAGGGCAAGTGGCGGTTATTGAGATCTATTACCCAATAAGCAGGCAGCAGCGCCGAGCGAGACGCGCTTCATAATGTCTCCTCTGAGGACGGTCAGCTGGTGGAAGGCTGCGGGGGAGCATGTTAGAATGAACACGGCGACACAATCGGGTACAAATCCCCCCCTAGTGGTCACACATCACGAGGCATATAGATGGGAGACGACTTCTTATATCCAGGATTGTTACTATACAGTGGGAAGGTGTAGTATCCGTATAGTACGGTCCCTGAAAATATAGAACAGTTCACACATAGTGCAGTATAGTCCCTGCAGAGTGCAGTATAGTCCCTGCAGAGTGCAGTGCAGTATAGTCCCTGCAGAGTGCAGTATAGTCCCTGTAGAGTGCAGTATAGTCGCCCTATAACAGGGGTACTGAATTAAAATGGAGGTCCGGTTGGTAACATTTTCTTCCTGCAGAAGTACGAATCTCATCTTTCTTCTATGACTCGGGTCCTTCACATCACAGCCCCCTTTAGATCAGTGCCCTCAGTCCCCTCTTTCCCATCAAACCCCCCCCAACATTACAGCCCCACTTTCACCACAGGCCCCCTTGCAATCACAGCCCCCCATATCACAGCTCCCCGCTCTTACATCACAGCACACCAGTCCCACATCACAGCCCCCCAGATCACAGCTCCCCCCTCTCACATTACAATCCCCGCATATCACAGCTCCCCGCTCTTACATCACAGCTCCCCCCCCCTCACATCACAGCCCCCCATATCACAGCTCGCCCCTCCCATATCACAGCCCCCCATATCACAGCTCGCCCCTCCCACATCACAGCCCCCCATATCACAGCTCCCCCCTCCTACATCACAGCCCCCCATATCACAGCTCGCCCCTCCCACATCACAGCCCCCCATATCACAGCTCCCCCCTCCCACATCACAGCTCACCCCTCCCACATCACAGCCCCCCATATCACAGCTCGCCCCTCCCACATCACAGCCCCCCATATCACAGCTCGCCCCTCTCCCATCACAGCCCCCTCATATCACAGCTCCCCCCTCCCACATCACAGCCCCCTCATATCACAGCTCCCCCCCTCACATCACAGCCCCCTCATATCACAGCTCCCCCTCCCACATCACAGCCCCCCAACTCACATCACAGCCTTCTCATATCACAGCTCCCCCCTCTCACATTACAGCCCCTCATATCACAGCTCCCCCCTTTTATACCAGAGCCCCCCCATATCACAGCTCCCCCTCTCACATCACAGCTCACCCCTCCCACATCACAGCCCCCCCTCTCACATCACAGCTCACCCCTCCCACATCACAGCCTGCAGATCACAGCTCCCCCCTCTCACATTACAGCCCCCTCATATCACAGCTCCCCCATATCACAGCTCCCCCATATCACAGCTCCCCCCTCTCACATCACAGCCCCCCCATATCACAGCTCCCCATCTCACATCACAGCCCCCCCATATTACAGCTCCCCGTCTCACATCACAGCCCCCCCATATCACAGCTCCCCATCTCACATCACAGCCCCCCCATATTACAGCTCCCCCCTCTCACATCACAGCCCCCCCATATCACAGCTCCCCCCCTCTCACATCTACAGCCCCCCCATATCACAGCTCCCCGTCTCACATCACAGCCCCCCCATATTACAGCTCCCCGTCTCACATCACAGCCCCCCCATATTACAGCTCCCCGTCTCACATCACAGCCCCCCCATATTACAGCTCCCTGTCTCACATCACAGCTCCCCTGGTGGAGAGTAAGGAAACCAGTGGCCATGACTGCGCCCTAGGCGGCTGCCTAGTTCCTCTGCTGGTAGGTCCGGCCCCCCGGGTGTATCCTCCTCGCTGCTCTGAACGAATGACTGTTGAAGTCCCAGAATCTCGTGGGAGGAGACATCCCGCAGGGACGGTTGGGTAGGAGGAGCTTGCTGCAGGAGACTGCTAGAGACTGGAGTTACACAAAACTGCTAGAGATCACTGCTGACTGCTGGGGCCCAAGGGCCACATGAGATGCACCAAAGGGCCACACGCAGCACTTGAGCCGCAGGTTGGGCACCAAGGGTTCTAAATCGTCTATTAGGATTTGAATTGTCAGCTCCATGCCCGAGCACCCGGGCCTCTATGGCTGGATGAGGTTTACTAAATAGAAATCTCTGTTTTTTCAGCTCTTTCCAGCTCCTCTTCAGACTTTGTCTAAGAAAATCGTCCAATCCAGGATCAACAGCAGCGCAGTGGGCGTGGTCATCATCATCCTTGTCTTCCTCTCCTCTTTCGTTAACATGGTAATGCCGATCCTCCGTGACTTGGAGGTGAAATACGTCTGTTTCTGTAAACTCCTCCCATATCCTCTAAGCCCCTCCCCCCACACTCTCTATACCATAAGCTCCTCCCAAACGGTTTACTTTTGTCCCCTCCCCCTTTTTTGATCAGTTCATGTGCAGCAAGAAGACCCTGAAGGACTGCCTGGCCGCCGAGTACAACGTCACCCCGGCCAACGTCACCCCCTGCTGGGTCAGGACCTCCGCCCACAATTACAGCCTGGCCACTGACAGCGGATTCTGCGGAGACTCCACCCCAAACTGCAACTTCCCGGAGGTAGGTGTAGCCTAGATCTTCCTGTTCTGGCTCCGCCCTCTGAGTAGAGGAATGGCGCAAACGCTGGTGGTGGAGGTGTTCGAAGGGGACCTGTCACCGGATTGTTCAGTACGGCCAAACTCCCTTCCATCTGAAATCCGGCTTGTGAAAGATCGGACATGTGCGTTTCCTTTCATCCCGATTCGATGTTCGGACATATTTTTCATTATTTGGAGAATCAGGTATATCCGAGTTGCTGAATCCAAAATAATGGAATTGGGGCGAAATTTTACTCAAATTTAAATCCGGTTCAAAAATGGGAAAAAAAATACAACATAATAAAGTAGAAAAGAAAAACATGTAGAGCAGCATATAAAAGAATAGAATAGCATAGAAAAAAACAACAGAATAGAATGAAACACAATATAACTGTCTTCCGAAAAATAAATTTGTATTCAAATAGAATAGATTAGAATAGAATAGAAAGATTGGAACTGTCTTCCGAAATGTGAATTTCCAATAGGATACATTCGACTTTCAATAAAATAGATAAGAATAGAATAGAAAAAAAACAGAATAGAAAGAATATAACTGTCTGCTAAAATTCGAATTTCCAAATATACAGAGATGGGGGGGAGAGTACACAGGGGGTATATACAGAGATGGGGGGTGGAGAGTACACGGGGGGTACATACAGAGATGGGGGGGTGGGGTGCACACGGGGGGGTACATACAGAGATGGGGGGGTGGGGTGCACACGGGGGGTACATACAGAGATGGGGGGGTGGGGTGCACACGGGGGTACATACAGAGATGGGGGGTGGAGAGCACACGGGGGGGTACATACAGAGATGGGGGGGTGGGGTGCACACGGGGGTACATACAGAGATGGGGGGTGGAGAGCACACGGGGGGTACATACAGAGATGGGGGTGGAGAGTACACGGGGGGTACATACAGAGATGGGGGGGGGGGGTGCACGGGGGGTACATACAGAGATGGGGGGGTGGGGTGCACACGGGGGGTATGTACAGAGATGGGGGGTGGAGAGCACACAGGGGGTATATACAGAGATGGGGGTGGGAAGTACACAGGGGGGTACATACAGAGATGGGGGGGTGGGGAGCACACGGGGGGTATATACAGAGATGGGGGTGGGAAGTACACAGGGGGGTATATACAGAGATGGGGGTGGGAAGTACACAGGGGGGTATATACAGAGATGGGGGGTGGGAAGTACACAGGGGGGTATATACAGAGATGGGGGGGTGGGGAGCACACGGGGGGTATATACAGAGATGGGGGTGGGAAGTACACAGGGGGGTATATACAGAGATGGGGGGTGGGAAGTACACAGGGGGGTATATACAGAGATGGAGGGGTGGGAAGTACACGGGGGGTATATACAGAGATGGGGGGTTGGGAAGTACATGGGGGGTATATACAGAGATGGGGTGGTGGGGAGTACACGGGGGTATATACAGAGATGGGGGGCTGGGAAGTACATTGGTGGTATATACAGTGATGAATATATTTAAATTTGAATAGATTAGAATAGGAAAGAATAGAAAGAATAGAATTGTCTTCCGAAATTCAAATAGAATACATTAGAATACAATAGGAAAGAACAGAATAGAATAGAATTGTCTTCTGAAATACTAATTTTGAATAGAATACATTCAAATCTGAATTGAATAGATTGGAATAAGAAAGAATAGAACAGAAAAAATATAACTGTCTTCCGAAATTCAAATAAAATAGATTCAAGTTCGGAAAAAAATAGATTAGAACAGGAAAGAATAGAATAGAGAGAAGATAATTGTCTTCGAAATTCGAACAGAATAGATTAAAATGGGAAAGAATTGAATAGATAGAATATAATTGTCTTCCGAAATGCGAATAGAATACGTTTCGCTGACCTTCCTGATCAGAACGCACCGGGTGATCGTAATGAGCCCGACCCGCCCACCCAGAATCGGTCCGCCCACCCAGAATCAGTCCGCCCACCCAGAATCGGTCCGCCCACCCAGAATCGGTCCGCCCACCCAGAATCGGTCAGAATCGGTCCGCCCCACCCAGAATCGGTCCTCCCCACCCAGAATCGGTCCTCCCCACCCAGAATCGGTCCTCCCCACCCTGAATCGGTCCGCCCCACCCTGAATCGGTCTGCCCCACCCAGAATTGGTCTGCCCCACCCACCCAGAATCAGTCCGCCCACCCAGAATCAGTCTGCCCCGCCCACCCAGAATCAGTCCGCCCCGTCCACCCAGAATCAGTCCGCCCACTCAGAATCAGTCCACTGAGGACACATCTGGTGAATTAAAATCGCAGAGTCACCCAGATTTTGGCCACGATTCCAAGTTGCTCTGCAGTAGTGGCAGCAATCTTCGTGCGGTTTGGCCGCAATTGCTGTGCAATTTGTTTGTTGTGCGACAATCGCCGCAAAGCCGCGCCGGTAATCAACGTCAATGTCCCCCAAACACGCCGGGTGCATTCTGCCACTATTGCAGTGCGGTTTGGAATCGCGGGGAGAATCGCAACGACTCTGTCAGGGACCCCAAATCACCAAATGTCAGCGAGGAGTAAGAGAGATTCTATGGTAATCCGTGTTCAGGAGATGATATTGCTGGGATGCCAGGATGTTGTGGGCAGCCTGACCGAGGGTCCAGGTCAGTGGTCTCCAAACTGCCGCCCTTCAGACATTATTCCTCCCACTGACACCAATGATGGGGCACTATTCCTGCCACTGACACCAATGATGGAGCGCTATTCCTGCCACTGACACCAATGATGGGGCGCTATTCCTGCCACTGACACCAATGATGGGGCGCTATTCCTCCCACTGACACCAATGATGGGGCGCTATTCCTCACACTGACACCAATGATGGGGCGCTATTCCTCCCACTGACACCAATGATGGGGCGCTATTCCTCCACTGACACCAATGACGGGGTGCTATTCCTCCCACTGACACCAATGACGGGGCGCTATTCCTGCCACTGACACCAATGATGGGGCACTATTCCTCCCACTGACACCAATGATGGGGCGCTATTCCTCCCACTGACACCAATGATGGGGCGCTATTCCTCCCACTGACACCAATGATGGGGCGCTATTCCTCCCACTGACACCAATGATGGGCCGCTATTCCTCCCACTGACACCAATGATGGGGCGCTATTTCCTCCCACTGACACCAATGATGGGGCGCTATTCCTCCCACTGACACCAATGATGGGGCGCTATTCCTCCCACTGACACCAATGATGGGGCGCGCTATTCCTGCCACTGACACCAATGGGGCGCTATTCCTCCACTGACACCAATGACGGGGCGCTATTCCTCCCACTGACACCAATGACGGGGCGCTATACCTCCCACTGACACCAATGACGGGGCGCTATTCCTCCACTGACACCAATGACGGGGCACTATTCCTCCCACTGATACCAATGATGGGGCGCTATTCCTCCCACTGACACCAATGATGGGGCACTATTCCTCCCACTGACACCAATGATGGGGCGCTATTCCTCCCACTGACACCAATGATGGGGCGCTATTCCTCCCACTGACACCAATGATGGGCCGCTATTCCTCCCACTGACACCAATGATGGGGCGCTATTCCTCCCACTGACACCAATGATGGGGCGCTATTCCTCCCACTGACACCAATGATGGGGCGCTATTCCTCCCACTGACACCAATGATGGGGGCGCTATTCCTGCCACTGACACCAATGACGGGGCGCTATTCCTCCACTGACACCAATGACGGGGCGCTATTCCTCCCACTGACACCAATGACGGGGCGCTATTACCTCCCACTGACACCAATGACGGGGCGCTATTCCTCCCACTGACACCAATGACGGGGCTATTCCTCCCACTGACACCAATGATGGGGCACTATTGCTCCCACTGACACCAATGACGGGGCGCTATTGCTCCCACTGACACCAATGACGGGGCACTATTCCTCCCACTGACACCAATGATGGGGCACTATTCCTCCCACTGACACCAATGACGGGGCACTATTCCTCCCACTGACACCAATGATGGGGCACTATTCCTCCCACTGACACCAATGATGGGGTATGGTTTACTCCCACTGGCCTCAGCCCCCCCCCCCCCCCCCCCAAACTCTGAAGGCCAGTTAACTGGCCCCTTTGTTTAGGAGGTCTGGAGTCCCCTGGCCTAGGTAGTCCTGAGTGTCCATCATCGCTCTTCAGGACAGTCCCGGTCCCTCTGTCAGGACACAGCTTAGGGGTGCGGACAGTTGCAGACCTCCCCCCCCCCATATAATACATGTAGCGGATATGTAGCGGATGTGTAGCGGATGTGTAGCCGGAGTCTCCATGGATTCTGTGTTTCTTTGCAGTACTTCACCTGCTGCATCTTGCTCAGCCTCCTCGCCTGCTCCGTCTTTCTTCAGATCAGCAGCATCGGGAAACTGGTTCTGATGTTCGTCATCGACTTTGTCTACGTGATTGTTGTGGAGGTCCCGCAGGTGGCGCTGTTTGACAACGCAGACCTGCTGGTGGCAGCCAATCAGATGTAAGTAAGGAAAAAAATAACATTTTCACCCCCATAGTGCGTCCAATAGGTGAAGAGTGTGGGGGGGTTGGATCCTCTGTCAGGATCTGATGGGGGGCGGGGTTTAGTGTGCCCTCCCCCGGCATTTTTGTTCAATTTCTTTTTTTTTCTTTTTGTGCTAAATTCAACCTTTTCCAGAAAATATTCCGTGCCCCCCCCCCCCCCCCCCCCCCCCCCTGACATGAACAATGTGTGCAGCTTTGTACAATGGGGGGGGGTCTGAAATTACGGTCTGAATCGCACATCGCAAATCGCACATTTGTGTGATCCTTCATATCACCCACCCCCCCCCTCATCAAAATCCCAGTCTCACATCCATGTCCTCCATTGCATATCACCCCCCCCCCCCCTTTACATCACAGCCCCCCCCCCATCAAAATCCCAGTCTCACATCCGTGTCCTCCATTGCATATCACCCCCCCCTTTACATCACAGCCCCCCCCATCATAATCTCAGTCTCACATCCGTGTCCTCCATTGCATATCATCCCCCCTTTACATCACAGCCCCCCCCCATCAAAATCCTAGTCTCACATCCGTGTCCTCCATTGCATATCACCCCCCCCCCCTTTACATCACAGCCCCCCCCCCATCATAATCCCAGTCTCATAATATCTGTGTCCTCCATTGCATATCATCCCCCCCCTTTACATCACAGCCCCCCACTTCACATCACATTTTCCCCTTCACAAATATGCCCTCCGCCCCCCTTCACATGGATCACCCCCCCCCCCACACACACAGTGGTATCCTCTGTCCCCCCTTCACATCAATCACACACACCCCCCCCCCCACAATGGTGCCATCTGTCCCTCTTCAACTTGACCCCCCATAGTGGTGTCTACTGCCCCCCTCACATGACCCCCCCTTTACATCACAGCCTCCAACTTCATATCACAGTTCCCCTTCACCTCCCCCAGCCTTGTCCTCTGCCCCCCTTCACATTGATCACCCCTTCCCCTCACAATGGTATCCTCTGCCCCTTCATATCCATTGAACCCCCCCCCCCCCCATAGTGGTGTCTTCTGCCCTCTTTCACATTAATGACAACGCCCCCCCCCCCTTACATCACAGCCCCCAACTTCATATCACAGTTCCCCTTCACCTCCCCCAGCCCTGTTCTCTGCCCCCCTTCACATCACCCCCCCCCCCCCCACCACCACCACCACTCTCCTACCTTTCTCGGGTACACAGAGCGGAGAGTGGGATCCGGGGGGGGGGGGGGGTTTAGCCGGGTTTCTGAGGGCCTCGAATAGTGTGCAGGTGAACCAATACAGTTATTGATCATTTTCCAAAGCTGCACAGATTTCCAATATATTTCCCGGGGGGGGGGGGGGGTCCCGGGGGGGGGGGGGGGATCCCGAACTGCAAAGACTATTTTCTGGAAAAGGTGGACTTGTGCTTGAAGTCCGTAAGGTTTGCACTGAGCGTCCTCCCCCCCTGCTGGACGAGGTGCGTTCTGGTGCACCACAAAACACCACAACACCCGCCAGGCGCCATTTTATTTATTTATTTCAGGTACTTATGTAGCGCCATCAATTCACGCCGCGCTTTACGTATATATTGTACATTCACATCAGTCCCCGCCCCCGAGGAGCGTACAATCTAAGGTCCCTGGGGAGGGGGGCTGGGGGGGATGGGGTGGGAGGTGGAATGGGGTGAGGGCGTAACAATCTAAGGTCCCGAACTCACATACACATACAAGGAACAATGTAGACAGGAGCCAATTCACCTACCAGCATGTCTTTGGAGTGTGGGAGGAAACCAGAGTACCCGGAGCAAACCCACGCAGGCACAGGGAGAACATGCAAACTCCAGGCAGGAGGTGCGGTGGTTGGGATTTGAACCAACGACCCGAGTACTGGCAGGTGCTGACCATTAAGATGCAGAAAGGAGAGATTTTTGGCCATGACTAGACACGTGCGGTTCATTTTGTTCTGAATCGCATTTGGAACAAATTTTTTCCTCATTCGGATGTATCCGAATAACAAATTACAAAACTAATTTAAACGAATCCGAAATAACGAAACTAAATTCAGACGAAATTCGATTAGAAAACGAATTTGAAAACAAATTCGCAATCGAAAACAAAATTAAAAAAAAACCAATTCGAATTCAAAAACAAAATCGAACAAACAATCGAAAACAAATTGAAAGCGGAGCTCCACCCAAAAGGGGAAGTTCCGCTTTAAGGACTGGTCCCCCGCTCCCTGTTTATTTTTCACATTTTGTTTTTAGAATTCAGTTGAAAACTTTTCGATATTTGTTGAATCAATTTTGAATACGACTGACTTTTTGGAATTTGGTCTAAATGTTTTCGAATCGAATTAGAATACGAAATGACCAAAACGAATCCCGTAAACGCATTGAACAAATTTACCGAACCCGACTACACGAAATTTGTTAAGATTTCGAAACAAAAAAATTTTTTTTGTTTTGCACAGGTCTCGCCATGACTGTATATTGAAAAAGAAAGACCGAGCGATGAAAATATATAAAATCGATGTGTGCGGTATTTACAGTGGGGATGGAAAGTTTGGGCACCCCAGCTAAAATTTGTATTAATGTGCATAAAGGAGCCAAGGAAAGATGGAAAAATCTCCAAAAGGCATCAAATTACAGATTAGACATTCTTATAATATGTCAACAAAAGTTAGATTTTATTTCCATCATTTACACTTTCAAAATAACAGAAAACAAAAAAAATGGCGTCTGCAAAAGTTTGGGCCCCCTGCAGAATTTATAGCATGCACTGCCCCCTTTGGCAAGTATCACAGCTTGTAAACGCACTTTGTAGCCAGCCAAGAGTCTTCCAATTCTTGTTTGAGGTATCTTTGCCCATTCTTCCTTACAAAAGTCTTCCAGTTCTTTGAGATTTCTGGGCTGTCTGTCACGCACGGCTCTTTTAAGGTCTATCCATAGATTTTCAATGATGTTGAGGTCAGGAGATTGTGAAGGCCATGGCAAAACCTTCAGTTTACGCCTCTTGATGTAATCCCCCGTGGATTTCCAGGTGTGTTTAGGATCATTATCCATTTGTAGAAGCCATCCTCTCTTTAACTTCAGCTTTTTCACAGATGGCATCAAGTTACCATCCAAAATTTGCTGAAATTTTATTGAATCCATTTTTCCTTCTACTCGTGAGATGTTCCCTGTGCCACTGGCTGCAACACAACCCCAAAGCATGATTGATCCAACCCCATGCTTCACAGTTGGACAGAGGTTCTTTTCATTAAATTCTGTGCCCCTTCTTCTCCAAACGTACCTTTGCTCATTCCGGCCAAAAGGTTCAATTTTAACCTCATCGGTCCACAGAACTTGTTTCTAAAATGCATCAGGCTTGTCTATATGTTCATTTGCAAAGTTCAAACGATGATTTTTGTGGTGAGGACGTAGAAGAGGTTTTCTTCTGATGACTCCTCCATGAAGACCATATTTGTACAAGTATCTCTTTATAGTGGAATAGTGACCACAACTCCAGTGTCTGCCAGATCTTTCTGGAGGGATCGTGCAGTCAAACGTGGGTTTTGAATTGTTTTTCTCACAATCCTGCGAGCTGTTCTGTCTGATATTTTTCTTGGTCTTCCAGATCTTGCTTTAACTTTCTGTTCCTGATGACTGCAATTTCTTAATGACATTCCGAACAGAGGATATTGACATCTGAAAACGCTTTGCTATCTTCTTATAGCCTTCTCCAGCTTTGTGAGCGTCAACTATTTTCAGTTTCAGTTTTCTAGACAACTGCTTAGAAGAACCCATGGTGCTGATTGTTGGGGCAAGGTCAGATGAGTCGGGGCATTTAAACCCTTTGAGATTGACATCACCTGGTCTTCCCAGACGATGATTGGGAACAATCCATGACACTGGCAGGTCTCAGCTTTGCAAAGGGGGCAGTACAAGATATTAACTCTGCAGGGGGCCCAAACTTTTGCAGACGCCATTTTTTTTGTTTTCTGTTATCTTGAAAGTGTAAATGATGGAAATAAAATCTAACTTTTGTTGACATATTATAAGAATGTCTAATCTGTAATTTGATGCCTTTTGGAGATTTTTCCATCTTTCCTTGGCTTCTTTATGCACATTAATACAAATTTTTAGCTGGGGTGCCCAAACTTTCAGTCCCCACTGTAGCTTGTGCAAGGCCCACTGCGCGTGGACGTGTTTTGACGGCACAGACTGTACATGTGTTTCCATGCGTCCCAGTGCAGTCCTATCGATGTCAATTGGAATGCAGTCGCTGCGCCCAATAGGACATCTGTGTGGGTGGCCCCTATACACAGGGTGAGTTCGGGGGGGACACACAACCGCATGGATTCCAAACTTGGAGCACGGCTGAGTCTGAGCACCTTCTGCATTCCAATTGACATGGATGGGACTGCCTGCATAGGGATGTATGGAACATCTGTATATCCTGTGCGGACCCTCACAGGGGTGTATTCTTGAGTACAGGGGTGGACTGACAACTCATGCGGCCCCCGGGCAATAGGGGGATCATGGGGCCCCTGTGTCCTTGCCCAAACTCAAAAAAGCCTATGAAAAAAGGTACCAGGGGCATCTCATGGGGCCTCCTACTGACCCCGGGCCCTCAGGCACTGTCCGAGTTTCCAAATGGTCAGTCCGCCCCTGCTTGAGTACGAACAAGTGAACAAGGCCAAAAAAAATGGTATTGGCATCGAACGATCGATTCTGATAAATGATTTCGAATACATTTCAAGATCAAACCAATAAGGAGCCACAAGTTTCCAAAAGCGGTCCTACAGCGCCATCTACTGTCCAGATTGCAGAATGCACTGTGATGACATTTCTTCTTTTTTTTTTTTTTTTTCAGTGGGTCCAGCAACTCAACAGAACCCTGGTAAGAAAATCCAGATTTCCTTTTACTTGTTTGCGATTTATAAAGAAATCTGGTTAAAGCGTAACTCCGAAAAAAAAAAAACCTCCCCCTCTGGGTGATTGATGTACATTGCAGGGATTTTAACACACTTTGTTGCAGATTCCAACCTTTTTGTTTCTCTGAAGAAAGAGATGGATGTGTAAAAAAAAAAAAAAAAAAAAAAAAGAAGCGAATTATCCATTAGCACCTGCAGGGCTCTAATGAGGAAAGTGGCAGGGTCTGCATCCCCTTTTAGATGGGATTATTCTTCAGGTGCAATGACATTTTTGTGTTGCAGGGGGTGCCTGAAATCTGACTTGTATCGAAGGCCGGCCGTTCACGGGTCGAATTCCAAATGCATTTTCTTTTTAGAAAATTGAAACTAAGAATTATCGATCGAATTTCACACCATTAGTGGGTCTGGGCATCGGACGATTTTCATGCGCCCATCGAATTTGAGCGATGGGGCGTGTTGGAAATTTTTTGACAGTCGAACGAATTTCTAATCAATGATGGGAGAATCGTGCGAGAAATATAATCGAAAGCGAAATGAGCGTGAGACGTGGAATGAAAAGAATATTCCCGGCCAGGAAAATTCTTTTCTGTAGCAACATGGGGCGGACTGACAACTCATGGGGCCCCCGGGCAATATGGGATCATGGGGCCCCTGTGTCCTCACCCAAAAAAGCCTATAATCAATGGTGGCTCCATCCGATTACAAAATGTGCGAAATTTTTGATTTTCTAAAGAAAATTAGTTCAGAATTCGACCCGTGTACGGCTTTCCTAATGCAGGCCATAGACGGTTCGTTTATTGGACGATTGTTTGTTTGATGATGTTGCCACCAATGAGTGCGAAAATCGGCCATTTTTCACAAATTTTCCAGCATGACCGATAAAAGAAATGAGGAGGAACCGCGAAAATCGGCCGATGCCATCGCCCCACTAACAGTGCGAAAATCTGCCGATGCCATCGCTCCACTAACAGTGCGAAAATCTGCCGATGCCATCGCTCCACTAACAGTGCGAAAATCTGCCGATGCCATCGCTCCACTAACAGTGCGAAAATCTGCCGATGCCATCGCCCCACTAACAGTGCGAAAATCTGCCGATGCCATCGCGCCATTAACAGTGCGAAAATCTGCCGATGCCATCGCTCCACTAACAGTGCGAAAATCTGCCGATGCCATCGCTCCACTAACAGTGCGAAAATCTGCCGATGCCATCGCCCCACTAACAGTGCGAAAATCTGCCGATGCCATCGCTCCACTAACAGTGCGAAAATCTGCCGATGCCATCGCGCCACTAACAGTGCGAAAATCTGCCGATGCCATCGCTCCACTAACAGTGCGAAAATCTGCCGATGCCATCGCGCCACTAACAGTGCGAAAATCTGCCGATGCCATCGCTCCACTAACAGTGCGAAAATCTGCCGATGCCATCGCTCCACTAACAGTGCGAAAATCTGCCGATGCCATCGCTCCACTAACAGTGCGAAAATCTGCCGATGACTTCACCCCACTAACAGTGTGAAAATCAGCCGATGACTTCACCCCACTAACAGTGTGAAAATCAGCCGATGACATCACCCCACTAACAGTGCGAAAATCAGCCGATGACTTCACCCCACTAACAGTGCGAAAATCAGCCGATGCCATCGCTCCACTAACAGTGCGAAAATCTGCCGATGCCATCGCCCCACTAACAGTGCGAAAATCTGCCGATGACATCACCCCACTAACAGTGCGAAAATCAGCCGATGACATCACCCCACTAACAGTGCGAAAATCTGCCGATGCCATCGCTCCACTAACAGTGCGAAAATCAGCCGATGACATCACCCCACTAACAGTGCGAAAATCAGCCGATGCCATCGCCCACTAACAGTGCGAAAATCAGCCGATGACATCACCCCACTAACAGTGCGAAAATCAGCCGATGCCATCGCTCCACTAACTAACAGTGCGAAAATCTGCCGATGCCATCGCCCCACTAACAGTGCGAAAATCAGCCGATGACATCGCCCCACTAACAGTGCGAAAATCAGCCGATGACATCACCCCACTAACAGTGCGAAAATCTGCCGATGCCATCGCCCCACTAACAGTGCGAAAATCTGCCGATGCCATCGCCCCACTAACAGTGCGAAAATCAGCCGATGACATCGCCCCACTAACAGTGCGAAAATCTGCCGATGCCATCGCCCCGCTAACAGTGCGAAAATCTGCCGATGCCATCGCCCCACTAACAGTGCGAAAATCAGCCGATGACATCACCCCACTAACAGTGCGAAAATCTGCCGATGCTCAGATAGAGGTCTGGTATAGATTTATGGGGACACCACACCTTTTTTTTTTTGTGTGTGGGGTCCCCCCTCCCTTCCATACCAAGCCCTACGGGTCTGGTATGGCCTTTGAAGGGAACCCCCACGCCAAAATTAAAAACAAAAAACATAAGCTGTGGGGGGCCCCCCTAAAAGTCTATACCAGACCTCTATCTGAGCATGCAGCCTGGCAGGTCAGGGAAGGGAGGGGAACGAGCAAGCACCCCCCCCCCCCAAACCATACCAGGCCACATGCCCTCAACATGGGGGGATGCTACGTACAGAGTGCAGAGTTCAGGTACGCGCTACGTACAGAGTGCAGAGTTCAGGAGTGTGCTACATACAGAGTGCAGAGTTCAGGGGTGCGCTACATACAGAGTGCAGAGTACAGAGTGGTTCAGGGTGCGCTGCATACAGAGTGCAGAGTTCAGGGGTGCGCTGCATACAGAGTGCAGAGTTCAGGGGTGCGCTGCATACAGAGTGCAGAGTTCAGGGGTGCGCTGCATACAGAGTGCAGAGTTCAGGGGTGCGCTGCATACAGAGTGCAGAGTTCAGGGGTGTGCTACATACAGAGTGCAGAGTTCAGGGGTGCGCTGCATACAGAGTGCAGAGTTCAGGCGTGCGCTGCGTACAGAGTGCAGAGTTCAGGCGTGCGCTGCATACAGAGTGCAGAGTTCAGGAGGGTGCTACATACAGAGTGCAGAGTTCAGGGGTGGACTGCATACAGAGTGCAGAGTTCAGGAGTGCGCTACATACAGAGTGCAGAGTTCAGGGGTGCGCTGCGTACAGAGTGCAGAGTTCAGGTACGCGCTACGTACAGAGTGCAGAGTTCCCGAGTGCACTACATACAGAGTGCAGAGTTCAGGAGTGCGCTGCGTACAGAGTGCAGAGTTCAGGGGTGCGCTATGTACAGAGTGCAGAGTTCAGGGGTGCGCTGCATACAGAGTGCAGAGTTCAGGGGTGCGCTACGTACAGAGTGCAGAGTTCAGGAGTGCGCTGCATACAGAGTGCAGAGTTCAGGGGTGCGCTACGTACAGAGTGCAATGTTCAGGAGTGCGCTACGTACAGAGTGCAGAGTTCAGGGGTGCGCTATGTACAGAGTGCAGAGTTCAGGGGTGCGCTGCGTACAGAGTGCAGAGTTCAGGGGTGCGCTGCGTACAGAGTGCAGAGTTCAGGAGTGCGCTGCATACAGAGTGCAGAGTTCAGGGGTGCGCTACGTACAGAGTGCAATGTTCAGGAGTGCGCTACGTACAGAGTGCAGAGTTCAGGGGTGCGCTACATACAGAGTGCAGAGTTCAGGGGTGCGCTACATACAGAGTGCAGAGTTCAGGGGTGCGCTACATACAGAGTGCAGAGTTCAGGGGTGCACTACATACAGAGTGCAGAGTTCAGGGGTGCACTACATACAGAGTGCAGAGTTCAGGGGTGCGCTGCGTACAGAGTGCAGAGTTCAGGTACGCGCTACGTACAGAGTGCAGAGTTCCCGAGTGCGGCACTACATACAGAGTGCAGAGTTCAGGAGTGCGCTGCATACAGAGTGCAGAGTTCAGGGGTGCGCTGCATACAGAGTGCAGAGTTCAGGGGTGCGCTGCATACAGAGTGCAGAGTGCAGAGTTCAGGGGTGCGCTATGTACAGAGTGCAGAGTTCAGCTGAATTTTGTTCTGTGTACAGTATGCGCAGTTTCCAAAATCATATATATCCCCCTCCTAGTTAGGTTTCTAGGTAAATTCAGTTTTGGCTCCACCGTGGTTTTTGTTTGTCTTGGTCTGCTCAGGGTTCCTGGGTGGAGCGCTTGATTGCTTCCCCCTGCCTGTGGGAGAAGCTTCCAGAACATTGGGAAGGAGCTTCAAATGATCAGATGATTATTTATCATACCCTGGCCAATCCCTGGAAGGAGGCATCCAGAAGGTGGTTGGAGAGGTGATAAATATCCCTGAGCAGACTGTTCTTTTCTGATCAGGGAGGGTTCCAGTATTCCTGGGCTGCTCCTCCTAGGGCAGAGGTGTCAAACTGGTGGCCCTCCAGCTGTTACGAAAAAGTCCCATCATGCCTCTGCCTTTGAAAGTCATGTAACTCAATCTTGCAATGCCTCATGGGACTAGTTTGGCAACAGCTGGAGGGCTGCCAGTTTGACACCCGTGCCCTAGGGGAAGGATCACTGAGACAAGAGACTCCAGATTGGACCTCAGTGGTTGCTGGGCTGAGGGACTGAAGAGAGCTGCTGAAGTGGGACGCCTACTGAAGGAAACGGTTTCAGAGGCAAGGTCTCTGGAGGAGAATTGTGTCCATACCCTCACCAAGGATCCACCAAGGATCAGAGGCAAGGTCTCTGGAGGAGAATTCTGTCCATACCCTCATCAAGGATCCACCAAGGATCAGAGGCAAGGTCTCTGGAGGAGAATTCTGTCCATACCCTCATCAAGGATCCACCAAGGATCAGAGGCAAGGTCTCTGGAGGAGAATTCTGTCCATACCCTTACCAAGGATCCACCTGCGGATCAGAGGCAAGGTCTCTGGAGGAGAATTCTGTCCATACCCTCACCAAGGATCCACCTGCGGATCAGAGGCAAGGTCTCTGGAGGAGAATTCTGTCCATACCCTCATCAAGGATCCACCTGCGGATCAGAGGGAAGGTCTCTGGAGGAGAATCTCTGTCCATACCCTCACCAAGGATCCACCAAGGATCAGAGGCAAGGTCTCTGGAGGAGAATTCTGTCCATACCCTCACCAAGGATCCACCAAGGATCAGAGGCAACGTCTCTGAAGAATTCTGTCCATACCCTCACCAAGGATCCACCAAGGATCAGAGGCAAGGTCTCTGGAGGAGAATTCTGTCCATACCCTCACCAAGGATCCACCAAGGATCAGAGGCAACGTCTCTGAAGAATTCTGTCCATACCCTCACCAAGGATCCACCTGCAGAGGCCGGGTGGCAGACGGCTCCTGGGGCCACTGTGAGTAAAAGTCCTTTTGGAGACTGATAGCGATCCAGTTGCCCAAGACTGCCCATACGATACACAAATTCTTCTGCCCGAGAAGCTGCTAATGAGGGAGACTAGAGAAAAAGTTCATCCTTTTCCTGATGTTGATTGTTTTGGCGTGACCCAAGACCCCAAACCCCTCTCCTCCTGTCAGAGTTTTCTGCAGTAAATCCTAAAATGCCATCCCCGGCACTGAGTTTTAATTGTTGGTGTGCCGGAGAGGCTGGCGGCCTCTATAGGGGAAACCTGTCTATTACCTACAGCCCCTATGGGGGTGAGCACTACACATACTCTACTGTATAGACACGCAATTTTTTGTTCCTGCTGGTATGTGGAGAGTATCTTTGTTCCCCTAAAAGTAACCACTCCCCTTGCGTCTTTGCAGCACCATTGACAGAGTCGCGCTGAAGATCGCCACGCCGATCATAATCACGGTGTTCGTCCTGGCGCTGTATCTGCACGCTCAGCAGGTGGAGTCCACGGCCCGGCTGGACTTCCTATGGAAGCTTCAGGTACTTCACTGTGAGACCCCCAAATTGTTCCTGAGGATTCTGTACAAAGTAGGGGAGGGGGGGATGATTAGGACTGAAATACCACCAACAGCCACACTGGAGGTGCCCAATAGCGCCTACTGCCTGTACCCCATTAGTGGCCGCCCTGCAGACCAATAAGATTCCTGGTATGGGTTGTTGGGGTGCTCTCATTGGATTGTGGGGTGGTGGTGGAGACATGGATGACCCTGCAGAATAGTAGCGATAAAAGTTTCTGGTGGTGCCTGTTTTTTTAAATGGGTGAATTTTAAGAAAATGGAGAGTCTATGTAATGGAATAACCATGCCCCTCCCCCACTGGGCATTTAGGACACCAAAGGACGACCAACGACAAGGACACAGTGGCTCCTGTAGGGAACGATTGTGTTTTCAGGTCATATAATAATTGATTTCAGCAGCAGGCGGCGATGCTGAGCTAATCTGCACTTGCAGGTCCTTGACCAGGGGTGTCAAACTCAATTTCATCACGGGCCACATCAGCATTATGGTTGCCCCCACAGGGCCGGTGGTATCTCTCAGCAGCATTCAGGAGTGCGCTTCCTATAGAGTGCAGAGTTCAGGAGTATTCGGTGTGCAGAGTTCAGGTGTTCAAGGTGCACAGAATGCAGAGTTCAGTGTGGTATGCAAAGTACAGAGTGCAGAGTTCTGGAGTACACGACGTACAGAGTGCAGAGTTCTGGAGTACACGACGTACAGAGTGCAGAGTTCTGGAGTACACGACGTACAGAGTGCAGAGTTCTGGAGTATGTGATGTACATAGTGCAGAGTTCTGGAGTACACAACGTACAGAGTGCAGAGTTCTGGAGTACACGACGTACAGAGTGCAGAGTTCTGGAGTACACGACGTACAGAGTGCAGAGTTCTGGAGTATTCGGTGTGCAGAGTTCAGGTGTACAAGGTGCACAGAATGCAGAGTTCAGAGTTGTAGTGCAAAGTACAGAGTGCAGAGTTCTGGAGTATGTGACATACACAGAGTGCACTATGTACAGAGTTCTAAGAGAGTACACGACATACAGAATGCAGAGTTCTGGAGTACACAACATACAGAGTGCAGTTCTGGAGTATTTGGCTTGCAGAGTTTCGGGGGTGCGCTACACAGTGCAGAGTGCAGAGTTCAGGGTTCAAGGTGTACAGAATGCAGGGAGGGGTCAGAAGTACACCAGTGCAGTAGGGGTGCACTATGTACACAGTGCAGGGTTTAGGGGTGCTCTATGTACACAGTGCAGGGTTTAGGGGTGCTCTATGTACAGAGTGCAGGGTTTAGGGGTGTGTACACAGTGCAGGGTTTAGGGGTGCACTATGTACACAGTGCAGGGTTTAGGGGTGCACTATGTACACAGTGCAGGGTTTAGGGGTGCACTATGTACACAGTGCAGGGTTTAGGGGTGCACTATGTACAGAGTGCAGGGTTTAGGGGTGCACTATGTACAGAGTGCAGGGTTTAGGGGTGCTATGTACACAGTGCAGGGTTTTAGGGGTGCTACATGTACACAGTGCAGGGTTTAGAGTGCAAATTTTAGGTGCAGGGTTTCAGCTCTCATTCACAAGCTGTCCTCCTCTCAGGGTTTCCACCCCTCCCCCTGGCTCTGACCTCTCTCACCACTGACCTTGCACCACCCCGATCCACCACCTCTGCACACAGCTCCACCACAGACCTCAACCACAAATCCCCCCCCCCCCCACACATCTCGCCTACCCAGTCCAACTGTGGTACCTCATGGCAGTGCAGGTGTCTCCACCTCTCTCCTCACTTGCAGGGAGACATTGGGAGAGCATCTGTCCCTGCCGTGAGTGCGTGTAGGGCAGGCAGGGATCTGTGAGAGCTGCGAGGGCCACATGAAATGGACTGGAGGGCCAGATTCGGCCCCTGAGCTTTGACACGTGTCCTAGACTGTCAGAGAAGTAGGACCCGTGAGAGAGAGGGGCCCCTCTGTGCTCCGACATGGACAGATCAGTAGATGACATTTCAAGTTTTCCTAAAATATGACTGTAACATGGCGGACATATTTCTGTGCTGGTGCAGCTGCCGTTTGGCACGGAATACGGTGAGGACCTCCACGTGGTCCATTGTCCTCCATAGAAGGTCCATGAGGTTTGCGTGTTCTTCTGCTCTCACCTTCTGCCATTCTTCTCCTTGTAGGCCACGGAGGAGAAGGAGGAGATGGAGGAGCTCCAGGCCTACAACCGGCGTCTCCTCCATAATATTCTTCCCAAGGATGTGGCCGCCCACTTTCTGGCGCGGGAGAGGCGCAACGATGAGCTCTATTACCAGTCGTGTGAGTGCGTGGCGGTCATGTTCGCCTCCATTAGCAACTTCTCCGAGTTCTACGTGGAACTGGAAGCCAACAACGAGGGGGGTGGAGTGTCTGCGGCTCCTCAACGAGATCATTGCCGACTTCGATGAGGTGAGGCCGGGCTCTCCGAATGTAACGTCCTGAATGATGATTGGAGGAATACTTCTAGTGGGTGGAGATTATTCCCGGGTCAGTTGGGTGGTGGGACAATTCATAACGCAGATTTCCAGTTTATCTAAAAGGCAGATCTAGCCAAAAAGCTGGGGATCCCCCACGGCCGCCATACAATATGGATGCCACCATAGAGTGACAACACGTCAGGGCTCTGTAGTTCTGCAGACCGTCCTGACTGCCCCGCCTTCTTTCTGCAGTCTGGACTGTGGCAGATCACCATATTGGGGATGTTTCATAAATATTTGCAGGCCAAACAAAAATTCCCACGAGAGAGGTCTCAGAGTTCCCCCCCTTATCATCAGGTTCCCCATCAGAGTTCCCCCCCTTACATCAGGTTCCCCATCAGAGTTCCCCCCCTTACATCAAGTTCCCCATCAGAGTTCCCCCCTTACATCAAGTTCCCCATCAGAGTTCCCCCCTTACATCAAGTTCCCCATCAGAGTTCACACCCCTCCTTACATCAGGTTCCCCATCAGAGTTCACTTTGGCCCCCCCCCCCCCCCCTTACATCAGGTTCCCCATCAGAGTCCCCCCCTTACATCAGGTTCCCCATCAGAGTCCCCCCCTGCCATTGGCTTTGATTTAGGGAGACAAGCTGATGGGGACCTACATTTAAAGGGGTATTCTGATGGGGACCCTGATGCAAGGGGGGGGACTCTAAATTTAGGTCCCCATCAGAGTGTCTCCTTAAATCAGAGTTCCCCCCCCCCCCCCCTTATATCAGGGTCCACACCAGAGTCTCCCTTTACTTCCGGTTCCCCTTCAAGTGTGGGTCCCTATCAGGTACTTACATCAGGTTCTTCATATAAGCTCCCTTACATCAGGGTCCCCCTTTAAATATGGGTCCCCATCAGAGTTTTTCTTTAAATCAAAGGGGGACTCTGATGGGGAACCTGATGTAAGAAGGGACTCTGATTTAAAGAGACATGCTGATGGGGACCCACATTTAAAAGGGGAACTCTGTTGGCGGCCGTGATGTAAGGGGGAACGCTGATAGGAAACCTGATGCAAGGGGGCTTATATAAAGAACCTATTGTAAGAGGGGACTCTGATGGGACCGACATTAAAAGGGGGAATCTGATGGGGACCCTGATTTAAGGGGGCTTATATGAAGAACTTGATGTAAGGGAGGACTCTGATTTAAAGGGGTACTCTGATAGGGACCACATTTAAAGGGGAACCAGATGGAGGGGGGACTCTGATGGGGAACCTGATGGAAGGGGGGACTCTGATGAAGAACCTGATGGAAGGGGGGACTTCGATTTAAGGAGACAGTCTCCCCTTGCATCAGGTTCCCTATCAGAGTCCCCCCTTACATCAGGGTCCTCATCAGAGTCCCCCTTTAAACGTGGTCTCTTTAATCAGAGTTCCCCCTTACATCAGGTTCTCAATCAGAGTATCCTTAAACCAGAGTCCCCCCTTATATCAGGTTCCCCATCAGAGCCCCTCGTACCCCACTGTGTTTTTTTTTTTTAATATAAAACATTATTTGACGGCAAATTAGTCACGGAGTCATTGACATAAAACATAAAAACCGGCGCAAACTGACCCGGCCAATCCTCCGCAGACAGAACGCCCCCCCCCCCTCATGAAGGCACTAAGGGACACATGACACCTGGCTCAGTTCATACAGATAACCCGAATCTTCCAATGACCCCTCCCCCATTGACAGATCATCAGCGAGGACGAGTTCCGCCAGCTGGAGAAGATCAAGACGATCGGCAGCACCTACATGGCGGCTTCGGGACTCAACGATACGACTTACGACAAGGCGGGGAAAACGCACATCAAGGCGCTGGCCGATTATGCAATGAGGCTGATGGATCAGATGAAATACATCAACGAACATTCGTTCAACAACTTCAAGATGAAGATCGGTGAGTGTCCCTGCGGGAACCAATCAGGTGTAAGCGAGCTGAAGTCATACTGATGGAAAAAGAATTCTGGTTACTAAATGGGGGGGGGGGGGGGGGTTGTTGGGTACTACACTCTAACCTTTGACCTTGGTTCTTCTAAACGATAATGACTTATAATGACATCAAAGTCATTGACTGACAGAGCATGCTGGGAGCTGTAGTTCCACGACGCATGCGGTCTGTGCAATCCGTATTTGTAGGATTACCCTTTGTTCTCTCGTGCGTGGCAGGGCTGAACATCGGACCGGTGGTAGCCGGGGTGATCGGGGCCAGAAAACCGCAGTATGATATTTGGGGGAACACCGTGAATGTGGCGAGTCGCATGGACAGCACCGGGGTGCCGGAGAGGATCCAGGTGAGCCGATTAGGACTTGCAGTAATACTATATGAAATATTGCATATTTACCACTTGCAGCCAGTAGGTGATGAACTCTGTGCATGAGCAGGAGGTTTCCAGAGGCTCTACACATACCTTGTATTTATTTCAATGAATACCAGGCGTTGTCTGATTGGACCAGGCGGAGAGGAGGGTTGATAATGTCATAATCTCCACCTGGTCCAATCACAGAATGCCTTGTATACTTAAATCGTGCCAAGCTGGCCCAATGTACATTTGCAAAAATAAATCTGGAGTTCAGCTTTAAATCCGGAACAGATTCATTAAATTCCCCCTTAGAGGCTGAGGACATAGTTACATAGTTAGTCTGGCTGAAAAAAAGACAAAACTCCATCAGTTCAACCATAGAAAAAAAAAAAAACAAGTTATAATCCTACACCCACAGTGGATCCAGAGGAAGGCAAAAAAAACCCAGCAAAGCACGATCAATCTGCTCCTGCAGGGGAAAAATTCCTCCCTGATCCCCCGAGAGCCAATCGGATATTCCCTGGATCAACTTTCCCTATAAATGTTATATCCAGTTATATTCTGTGTATCCAAGAAAGAATCCAGGACTTTCCTACAGCAATCCACTGAGCTGGCCACACCCAACTCTGGAGGGAGACTATTCCACATTCTCACAGCTCTTACTGTGAAGAAACCTTTCCGTGTTTGGAGATGACATTTCTTTTCCTCCAGACGTAAAGAGCGCCCCCTTGTCCTCTGTGATGACCTCAGGGGGAATAACTACACCGAGTTCACTATATATGAACCACTGATGTATTATACATGGAGATCATATCCCCCCTTATGTATTATACATGGAGATCATATCCCCCCCTTATGTATTATACATGGAGATCATATCCCCCCTTATGTATTATACATGGAGATCATATCCCCCCCTTATGTATTATACATGGAGATCATATCCCCCCCTTATGTATTATACATGGAGATCATATCCCCCCCTTATGTATTATACATGGAGATCATATCCCCCCCTTATGTATTATACATGGAGATCATATCCCCCCTTATGTATTATACATGGTGATCATATCCCCCCCCTTATGTATTATACATGGAGATCATATCCCCCCCCTTATGTATTATACATGGTGATCATATCCCCCCCCCTTATGTATTATACATGGTGATCATATCCCCCCTTATGTATTATACATGGAGATCATATCCCCCCCTTATGTATTATACATGGAGATCATATCCCCCCTTATGTATTATACATGGTGATCATATCCCCCCCCTTATGTATTATACATGGTGATCATATCCCCCCTTATGTATTATACATGGAGATCATATCCCCCCCTTATGTATTATACATGGAGATCATATCCCCCCCCTTATGTATTATACATGGAGATCATATCCCCCCCCCCCTTAATCTCCTCTTCTCAGTAGAGAATACATTCAGTTCCTCTAATCTTTCCTCAGAGCTGATCTCAGTTTGGTTGCCCTTCTCTATACTTTCTCCAGTTCCCCAATGTTCCTTTTTGGGAATTGGTGGCCAAAGCTGAACTGCATATTCCAGATGAGGTCTTACTAATGATTTGTACCGGGGGGGGGGGGGGGGGTGATATCTCTCTCTCTGGAGTCTATACCTCTCCTAATACAAGAGAGGATTTTGTTCGCTTTAGAACCCGCAGCTTGGCATTGCTGCCATTATTAAGCTTGTGATCTATCAGAACCCCCAGATCCTTCTCCACCCACTGACCACCACCCCCAGATCCTCCACCACTGACCCCCCCAGATCCTTCTCCACCATTGACCCCCCCCAGATCCTTCTCCAACATTGGTTCCCCCCCCCCTCCCCAGATCCTTCTCCACCATTTACCCCCCAGATCCTTCACCATTGGTCGTCACCCCCCCCCCCAGATTCTTCTCCACCATTGACCCCCCAGATCCTTCACCATTGACCCCCCCAGATCCTTCTCCACCATTGACCCCCCCCCCCCCTCAGATCCTTCTCCACCATTGACCTCCTCAGATCCTTCTCCACCATTGACCCCCCCAGTTGTACCCCCCCCAGTATGTATGATGCATATTCTTAGCCCCCCCAAGTGCAGAACCTTACATTTATCACCATTAGCCCTCATTGGCCCCATAGTCCCCCAATTACACAGAGCATTGAGGTCGGCTTGTAAGTTGGAGACATCCTGTAAGGACGTTATTCCCGGCACAGCTTGGAGTCATCTGCAAAGACTGAAATGGGATTTATAATCTCACACCCCATATTGTTTATATATATATTAAAAAGTAAGGGTCCCAACACCGAACCCTGGGGTACCCCACTAATGACACTGAACCCTGGGGTACCCCACTAATAACACTGAACCTTGGGGTACACCACTGACACCCCCAGACCATTCGGAGTATGAATCATTAACCACTACTCTCTGACTACCATCTTTTAGCCAGTTTTCTGGATTTTTCCAACCCATAGACTTTATCTTGCACATTAGCCGTGTGTGGGGAAAACGCTTTAGCAAAATCCAAGTATACCACGCCCACCGCCACCACCCCTCTGTCCAAGTATACCACGTCCACCGCCACCCCTCTTTCCAAGTATACCACGTCCACAGCCACCCCTCCGTCCAAGTATACCACGTCCACCGCCACCCCTCTTTCCAAGTATACCACGTCCACAGCCACCCCTCTGTCCTCGTATACCACGTCCACCGTCACCCCTCTGTCCAAGTATACCAGGTCCACCGCCACCCCTCTGTCCCAGTATACCACGTCCGCCGCCACCCCTCTGTCCAAGTATACCACGTCCACACCACCCTCTTTCCAAGTACACCACGTCCACAGCCACCCCCTCTGTCCAAGTATACCACATCCACAGCCACCCCTCTGTCCAAGTATACCATGTCCACCACCACCCCTCTTTCCAAGTATACCACGTCCACAGCCACCCCTCTTTCCAAGTATACCACGTCCACAGCCACCCCTCTGTCCCAGTATACTACGTCCACCGCCACCCCTCTGTCCAAGTATACCACGTCCACAGCCACCCTCTGTCCCAGTATACTACGTCCACCGCCACCCCTCTGTCCAAGTATACCACGTCCACAGCCACCCCTCTGTCCCAGTATACTACGTCCACCGCCACCCCTCTGTCCAAGTATACCACGTCCACCGCCACCCCTCTGTCCAAGTATACCACGTCCACCGCCACCCGTCTGTCCAAGTATACCACGTCCACAGCCACCCCTCTTTCCCAGTATACTACGTCCACCGCCCACCCTCTGTCCCAGTATACTACGTCCACCGCCACCCGTCTGTCTAAGGTTTTGCTCATCTCCTCATAAAAAAAAATCAGATTTGTTTGACAACTTCTGTCTTTCATGACTCCATGTTGTCTGTTGCTTAAAATATTTTTTTCCAACAAGAACTCATCTATGTGTCTTTTATTAAACTCTCCAGTATCTTCCCAACTATAGAAGTTACACCAAACAGGTCTATAACTACTTGGGAAAGATTTTGACCCCCTTTATAAATATTGGCCCCACATTGGCCTTCCGCCAATCCCGTGGTACTATGCCAGTCATTAGAGTCCCTAAAAATGAGAAACAATGGCTGTGAGATGACAGAGCTGGATTCTGTAAGGCCCCCGTGGGTGTCTGCCATCCGGTCCAGGGGCTTTATTAACCTTTGTTCTGTCTAAATATTTCTGGATCATATCAATTGTGAGCCAATGTGGATCATCTGGAGCTGTGTCAGTACCACCCCCCATTATGGACAAGAGCCCCCCCATGCTCCTTTGTATACACAGAGCTGAAGAAGGGATTTCATACATTGTCCTTCTCTTTGTCCCCAGCAGGGGCGGACTGACCATTCAAGCACTCAGGCACTGCCCGAGGGCCCGGGGTCAGTAGGGGGCCCCATGAGATGCCCCTGGTACCTTTCATTGGCTTTTTCATAGGCTTTTTTGAGTGTGGCTGAGGACACAGGGGCCCCATGATCCCCTATTGCCCGGGGGCCCCATGAGTTGTCAGTCCGCCCCTGGTCCCCAGTCACCCCCTCTAGATGATTCTGTAAAGGGCCTACATGCTTGGACCGGACCTTTTTGCTATTAATATATTTGAAGAATTTCGCACCCACCCCCCCCCCCCCAGGACACAGGAAGAGCCATCATAACGGTCCTTTGTTTCGTTTCAGGTGACAGCGGACCTTCAGCAGGTCCTAGCAGCCAACAATTACTCCCTGGAATGCCGAGGGGTGGTAAAAAAAGTGAAAGGAAAAGGAGAGATGACCACCTACTTCCTAAATCACGGCCCCTCCAGACTGAGTTAGCGGACCAGGAGAAGCTACCGGAACACCGTGCACTGAAACCGTTAACTGACTTTGAGGGAGGGTCCCCACTCCAGGGGGCGGGGTCCTCTCTCCAAGGGACGACTCACCAAAGATTCCGGATGTGAACGCCTGGCTACGGCGCGACGGCGCGACGCCACTTGGGAGGAACAGAGAATAAAAGTTATTTATTGACCCTACACAATGATTTCCTCTATGAAGGAATGAAGGAATGTATTACGGTACCAGATCGCCAGCGGACCGCGTCAGAACCGCATCACGGCCTTTTTTTTTTTTTTTTTTTCTGGAACCGCCAAGACTTGCCGCAAGCCAGGGGAATTTTTACCTTCCAGTTTCAGAGATCCGCCAGTAAGACTTCGGTTATAGACAGAGACAACCTCACAATTTCTACCGTTTTCTGGGTAACGTTTTCATGTAAAATGAAGGCGGGGGTGAATATTTGATTTCCGACCGCCCCGGGCGCGCCACGACTCATTCGGCGCCCTCCGCCCCCGTGTCACAGTGACCCGGTACCTTTGCTCGCCGAACGATCTGACGTACATCCTTTTTGTAAGTTTATTTTGTAATATTTTAGCGTGGAGATCTAAAAGGAAAAAAAAAAAAAAAAAAAAAAAAAAACAAACAACAGATTCTATATTTTGTAAATTCTATACGAAGGCACCGAGTGTTACACCGAGATCATTCTGTGTTGTAGACGCGGGTCAGGCCTACGCCATCTTCCCGCGTTTCATCCGGTAACGGACATGGCAGTTTGGTCGGTACCACAATATACAGCGCAACGCGCAACCCGTTTTTAGAGTGTTATGTCGTTTAAACGTCGACTTTTATGGGGGGCTTTTTACGCGCGAAATTCTCCAATTTTCTATCGTCACATAAAAAAACGCGATTTCTTCCACGAATCAAATCACACAAAGTTTTATTTATTTTTATGCGGAAAAGGAGACATTTCTTAACTATTCCTGAAGTCATCGATTTTGTATCCCGTTTGCGGAAGGAGCGGCAGCTAAAAGACGCGGTCAGCCGTTTTCTAAAGTACGCTGCGACGTTTTCCCGCCGCCAGCGATGGGGATGTATATTGTCTTCCTATTAAACTGCCACGTCTTTCCATGTAATATATTCACGCAGAAAATATACTCCTTTCTTTATGGTATTATTTATAATCCACATTTATTGACACGACTCCGTCTGCACCACTCCGCTGTGGGCCGTCCTGGTAAAGATACCACACTCGCCACAAGCTCTGCGCCGATCTGCGCGTTCACGAGCTCCGCCCACAGGGACATCGGCTGCGGCTTTTTTTTTTTTTTTTTGGTTGGTCAGTTGCTACAACAAGGATTTCCCATGGAAACTATCTTTGCATTGTTTGAACATTAAATTCTATTTCACTGGTCTGGCTGTGTGTTTGATTTTGTCAGATGTACCGACTCCAGAAGTGTGGCCTCATCTATCACCAGTGAGGTGATCCCAGAGGAGTTTGTGTCTCTGCCCCTCCCACAATGGGGAGATTTCCCCGCAGTAGTTTGTGTCTCTGCCCCTCCCACAATGGGGAGATTTCCCCGCAGTAGTTTGCGTCTCTGCCCCTCCCACAATGGGGAGATTTCCCCTCAGTAGCTGTGTTTCTGCCCCTCCCACAATGGGGAGATTTCCCCGCAGTAGTTTGTGTCTCTGCCCCTCCCACAACGGGGAGATTTCCTGCAGTAGTCTCTGCCCCTCCCACAACGGGGAGATTTCCTGCAGTAGTCTCTGCCCCTCCCACAATGGGGAGATTTCCCTGCAATAGTTTGTGTCTCTGCTCCTCCCACAATGGGGAGATTTCCCCCAGTAGTTTGTGTCTCTGCCCCTCCCACAATATAGATTTCCCCGCAGTAGTTTGTGTCTCTGCCCCTCCCACAATGGGGAGATTTCCCCCAGCTAGTTTGTGTCTCTGCCCCTCCCACAATGGGGGGATTTCCCTGCAGTAGTTTGGGTCTGCCACTCCCACAATGGGGAGATTTCCCCGCAGTAGTTTACGTCTCTGCCCCTCCCACAATGGGGAGATTTCCCCCAGGTAGTTTGTCTCTGCCCCTCCCACAATGGGGAGATTTCCCCCAGGTAGTTTGTCTCTGCCCCTCCCCCAATGGGGAGATTTCCCCCAGGAAGTTTGTGTCTACCTGGGGGAAATCTCCCCATTGGGGGAGGGGCAGACACAAACTTCCTGGGGGAAATCTCCCCATTGGGGGAGGGGTAGAGACGAAATACCTGGGGGAAATCTCCCCATTGGGGGAGGGACAGTTTGTCTCTGCCCCTCCCACAAGGTCATGATGAAGATTTCCTCCTCTTACATCTTCAATTCCCAGCTATTTGTTTAACATTACAATTACGGCCATTATTACGCCTTGTGACGGCTGGAAGAGTCGGGCGAAGAAAGGAATTCTGCCACAGAGATGGAACCATTGGGGTGCAACCAGACAAAACCGTTTTCAGTGGATTACCACATCAATGATAAGTGCCATGACCTCGCTCACCCCATCCAGGCTGTGTCACGCTCTACCCCACGCACACCACGCTCTACCCCCCACGCACGCCACGCTCTACCCCACGCACGCTCTATGCCACGCTCTACCCCACGCACGCTCTATGCCACGCTCTACCCCACGCACGCTCTATGCCACGCTCTACCCCACGCACGCTCTATGCCACGCTCTACCCCACGCACGCCACGCTCCCCCCCACGCACGCCACGCTCTTCCCCACGCACGCCACGCTCTTCCCCACGCACGCCACGCTCTTCCCCACGCACGCCACGCTCTGGCTTTCTGTACAGCTAAATGAAGACATGAGCCTTGGCGGAGTTCATGTGAACCTGCGGCCAGATTATGGACATTCAACTATTTACACAGAAGCAAACGAGTACTGAAAAAAATAATCACCAACCTCTGTAGCAGCAGACACCATGGACTAGTTCATCCTCAAAGAACACAACAGAGGCTCTAAAATGGGGTTGCAGTCAGTTTCTGAACAGCTTAGAGCTTTTTAACATGGAGGAATCCTTGAAATAATTTGCTGTTGATTGACTCACTACCTCTGCTGGACGGCTCTTCCAAACCTCCACTACTCTTTCTGTAAAATTAAAACCTTTTTAAGATTAGTTTTAAACATTCCTCCTGCTAGTTTGTGGTCATTTGCTGCCCCAAGCTTGGTGGTATCATGTGAGGTGGGAGGCAGGAGTGCTGGAAGAGACACGTTAAATCTGGAGAGGAGGGAGGAGGTGCAGGCTGTGCTCTCTCCCTTCTATGTCTTCTCTCCTGCTACTGCAGTGCTCCTAGATTGGGACTGTGCAAGGCAGCAAAGAATGTGGGTCAGGAGCAGGTAAGCGAGGCCAATAAAGTCCCGATCTGAAATCAGCTGTGTCCCCAAGCTGTGATCCCATATTGGGGGCATCTCTCCCCACCAGCTGCCTGTCAAATGTGTTAAAATGAGCTTCCCCTAGGCTCCTCCTCAACTCTGACATGTCAAGAAGAGGAGGAGCCTAGGAGAAAGGACATCCTACAGCCATCTGCCGCGCTGCATCTGAGGTCTGTGTGTTGGAGGGAGGGGGGAGAATTGCACTGGGTACATAGTTGGGCTTTTATTGGGAGGGGGGGAATGGCGGCAGAATAACAAACATTTATGCCGAGGATAAGAGTGTTTGTACTTGGAGGATGGGGGTTAGTGCAAGGAGGGGGTTTGTACTGGGGGCAGGAGGTGAGAGGGAGGGGATTTACACTGGGAGGGGGAATTTTGGGGGTGAAAATGGGGGGATTTATTTTGTGAGGGCGGATGGGTGGGGTGAGAGGATTTGTGCTAAGAAGGGATATATATCTGCTGAGAGGGTGGAATTTGGAGGGGGAGAGAGGATTTTGTGCTGGGAGGGTGGAATTTGGAGGGGGAGAGAGGATTTTGTGCTGGGAGGGTGGAATTTGGAGGGGGAGAGAGGATTCGTGCGGAGAGGGTGGAATCTGGAGGGGGAGAGAGGATTTTGTGCTGGGAGGGTGGAATCTGAAGGGGGAGAGTGGATTTTGTGCTGGGAGGGTGGAATCTGAAGGGGGAGAGTGGATTTTGTGCTGGGAGGGTGGAATCTGAAGGGGGAGAGTGGATTTTGTGCTGGGAGGGTGGAATCTGGAGGGGGAGAGAGGATTTGTGCTGGGAGGGTGGAATCTGGAGGGGGAGAGAGGATTTTGTGCTGGGAGGGTGGAATCTGGAGGGGGAGAGAGGATTTTTGTGCTGGGAGCTTGGAATCTGATGGGGGAGAGAGGATTTTGTGCTGGGAGGGTGAAATCTGATGGGGGAGAGAGGATTTTGTGCTGGGAGGGTGGAATCTGATGGGGAGAGAGGATTTGTGCTGGGAGGGTGGAATCTGATGGGGGGAGAGAGGATTTGTGCTGGGAGGGTGGAATCTGGAGGGGGAGAGGAGATTTTGTGCTGGGAGGGTGGAATTTGGAGGGGTAGAGAGGATTCGAGCTGGGAGGGTGGAATTTGGAGGGGGGGGGAGAGAGAGGATTTGTGCTGGGAGGGGAAATTTGATGAGTAGAGGATTTGTGCTGGGAGGGTGGAATCTGATGGGGGAGAGAGGATTTGTGCTGGGAGGGTGGAATCTGGAGGGGGAGAGGAGATTTTGTGCTGGGAGGGTGGAATTTGGAGGGGTAGAGAGGATTCGAGCTGGGAGGGGAGGGTGGAATTTGGAGGGGGAGAGAGAGGATTTGTGCTGGGAGGGGAAATTTGATGAGTAGAGGATTTGTGCTGGGAGGGGAAATCTGGAGGGGGAGAGAGGATTTGTGCTGGGAGGGTGGAATCTGGAGGGGGAGAGAGGATTTTGTGCTGGGAGGGTGGAATTTGGAGGGGGAGAGAGAGGATTCGTGCTGGGAGGGTGGAATCTGATGGGGGAGAGAGGATTTGTGCTGGGAGGGGTGGAATTTGGAGGGGGAGAGAGAGGATTCGTGCTGGGAGGGTGGAATTTGACGAGT